ATACATTTCCACTTAAGCCACTTCGTTGAGCTATTACTTGTAGTTAGGTAGCTATATAGCTCAGTGGGGTTTCCCTGGTAAAATAAAAATAATAAACTTTAATGCCCGAGTTGGTCATGATGCTGGCACCTGGTCTGGAGTGATTGGAAGGCATGGGTCAGATCACCTCAATAACAACGGTAGGAGACCCCTAGATTTTCGTGCAACCCATGGGCTTGTAATTACCAACACGCTGTTCCAGCATCGGCGCATCCACACAACATCATGGATGCATGCCGGGTCCAAGCAAGAACATCTGCTGGACTACATAGTGACAGAACAGCGGATGCGGGCCCATGTCCTTGACACCAGGACCTACCGTGGAGCTGATCTGCCCTCTGACCATCGACTTGTCATCTGTAAGATGCGCCTGCCATTCTTCCACTCCGGTGGTAGGTGTACACCCAGGACCCCATTCAAATCTAAGGTGGCCTGGTCTCAGCTGATGAAAGTTGCAAGCTAGAATTTCATAATCGCTTGCGACTGGGGTTGGCATCGTCCCCCACTCCTCCAGATTTCGAGTGTAAATGGGTGAGGTTTAGGACTGTGACTCAGGCAGCTGCAGTGGCTGCTTTGGGTACGCAATCCAGACCTCCCCAGAGACCCTGGCTGACAGAGGAGGTGTTCAAGCTGGCTGAGAAAAAGCGACAGGCCCACTCTAATCGTCTACAGCATCCCACGTCAGAGAATGAGGAGGCTTACCACAGCCTTCGCTCGGAGGTTCGGAGAGCTGTGAGGCGCTGCAAGGATGGGTGGTGGTCGCGGGTTGCTGAGAAGATGGAGTCTGCCTCAATGGCCTGCGATCACAAATCCCTATTTAGCTCCAACAAAAAAGTAACCTGCAGTGCCACACCTATTAACATCATTAGGGGAAAAAATGGTGATTCAATCTCCGACCCCCAGGAACACGTTTGCAGATTTGCTGAGCATTTCTGTTAAGTCCTGGGGGAGGGGAAATCCCTCGACATGGAAAACATCGTGGGACAAAAGTGGGGATGACCCTGCTGAGGCTGCCGTGCCTCAAATATTGGAAAAAGTCACCCCCTGTGAGTGGCTGACTGAGGTGCCATCTGTTGAGGAAGTACTGAAGGCGATCCAGAGTCTGAAACCAGGAAAGGCACCGGACAGAGATAATCTCCCAAGCAAAATGCTGATGGACGTGTCGTTTGTGCACAGACTGCCCTACATGACATCATAACAACAGTCTGGACCACTGGACGGGTTCAACAGGATTGGCAGGATGCCCTTGTGGTCCCCTCTAAGAAGGGGGACCGCACAGACTGTAACAACTACAGGGGCATCTCACTCCTCAGTGTGCCACGCTGAGGAGAGGCTTGGGGAGCCCCAATGTGGTTTCAGGAATGGGCGGTCCTGTACAGATGCCATATTCTCTGTCCGTTTGCTACAGTTGAGGTGTAGGGAATTCCAACAAGACCTACATCTCTGCTATATTGACCTGGTCCAGGCCTATGATACCATCAGTAGGCCTGGGCTCTGGGTTGTTCTTCGTGCTTTCGGAGTCCCTGACCCTCTGCTTACGATCATTAAGGACCTTCATGATGGTGAGCGGGCCCGGGTAAAACTACGTGGCCGGGAGTTGGTGCGACAGGGATGTCCTCTGGCTCCAACATTATTTAACATATTTTTCGACCATGTAGTTCGTGAAGCCTTTGATGGCTGTACCAGAGGAATTTCCATCTGGTAAAGATACAATGGGAGGCTGATCGATGCCCGGGTGCGGTCAAGGGATGGCTCCCTATTGGTCAACCACGTTATGTATGCCGATGATCTGGTAATTGACGCTCACTCAGAGGAGGAGTTGGAGGCGCTGCTGCTGAAACTGGAGCGTGCCACTAAGAGGTGGGGCCTTACTATCAGCCCCACCAAAACTAAGCACTTGCCTGGGTATTTTGTACCATCGGGCACTCCACCCCCACAACTCCCAATCGGTGATGGGGTCAGTTGTGGAGAGAGTGGAGAGTTTCCCATACCTAGGCAGTGTGCTCATGACCGGCTCCGGTTTGACAGCAGAGGTCTCACTCAGAATCAGTCGAGCGGCATTATCTTTTCATCGGTTGCATAACGCTGTGTGGAAGCTACCTGGTCTGTCGCTCCGCACGAAGCTTCAAGTCTTCTCGGCCACGGTCATTCCCTCCCTTCTGTACGCTTGCGAAACATGGACCCCCCTATAATGCAGCATCTTCGCCGATTGGAAACATTTAGGCTGGCCTGCCTATGATCCATCCTGGGTTTAACCAGGCTGGATTGTGTGAGGAGCTCACAAATCTTTGAAAGATCGGAGCAAAGTCCCATCGGTGAGCTCCTCCGGCAGGCAAGGCTGCGTTGGCTGGGTCATGTAGCCCGCATGCCCAGTCACCGCATGCTTAAACAGCTTTTGTTTGGCCGGACAGAGGGGGCTATACGGGCGCGGCACGGGCTAGAGAAGAGATAGAGTGATGTGGTACAGGAGGATGTGGAGCTGAGTGGACATGCCGATGACTGGTCCCAGCGGTGTCAAAATCGGCCTCTGTGGAGGAGGCTCGTGAAGGACGCTGCTGGGCAGTTGGAAGCAGTCGCCCTCCAACAACAACGGAGGGCGGAGGAGCGACGCTCACAACAACGAGCGGAGCACCGGATGGCTAAAGCACAGCAAGTTGGCACAGTAGGGGGCACAGGTGGTGCATCAGCCAGTCATCTCGGTCGTCTCAGTTGACCCGTGGCACCTGGGTCTGCCTCGTGACCTCCTGCCAGCGGGCGTTCGACATTTCACGTGGCCTCAAGGTGCACATGGGCCTGGCACAAGCGTCGTGGTGACGTCACTGCTACTTAGTGGCGAATGGCGGTTGTTGTTTAGAGTGAGCCCCTGTGTGAGGCTGAGTGAGCAGTTGTGAGCCCCGTGTGAAGCGATGGAGAAATGTCCTAACGCAGTCATGCCAGCCTCTGACTGCGGCTCAGGGAAAGTTATTTATGGTCACGTGAGTGAGGAAAGCTCCGCTCACTGCCTGGGAGCATCGTGGCCGAGTTTGTGTCGTGAGGATTGCGTGCGAACGCGTCACAAATAAGACATTCCATCACACAGCACAACATGACAAACAAATATAACACAATAAAAGTGAAAACAAAAGAAAATAGAACCCAACAGAACAAATCTGATCACAAAGCAACTTTAACAAAAACTACCCAACACAACCAAACAATACAAAACACTGCCTAAACTACCTAAACATCACACGGAACCAAAGACAACCCAACATTACCTAAAGCATACTAAACCCAACACAACCTAAACAATACACTGACCACAATACTACCCAACACTGCGAAAACAAGACACTAAATCCAACACGACCTAATATACACAACGTGGTCGTCATGTAAGCCTGGTCCAGCATATATAACTATAGGTGGATAGTACAGCGATAAGACATGTCATATGAAACACTTATTAATGTCTTCATGAATGTAACACAGCTACAATAATTATTTGTCATACGTTATGTTGGTATTACAAATCTATTCTAATGCCTGGATGCTTGTGTTTTATTTAAAGGCCTAGCAAGTTTCAAGCCCCTCTTTTTGCCTAGATCCCCTGCCGGGTTCGCTCGACAGGGCTGCCTAGGTGATGCGGGAGGGCGGGGGTCACGTAGATACAAGGGCCGTGATTGAGGGCAGTGCCTGTTTATTGGCATATGTGTTGGAAACTAAAGAAACTAAGTGACAGAGATTAACATCGCACTTGTGTAAAATGTGATCACTGTAACTATTTTAAGAGCAGGAAAGTAAAAATGTTTCATAACCCAAAAACAATACAAGCGTGACCCACCACTACGACATTAGACTAGTGACGTCATTGATTTGACACTGGTACACATTCACTATCGCAGAGTTAAACACACATTGCTGCCATAGAGATACACACACCACGACGATCACAGACACGCCATTACGATCAGATACACCCAGATACAGTTATACAAAACACCATGACTAACACTCATGCAGAAATACAAACACATTCACTATATCACGACACACACATCACAAACACCATGACAAAGAAACACCATTAACAATACAGACGAAACAGCATTACTAACACATACACAAATGCTGTCACTAAAACACACACCATTAAACAAACAAATCACCCATAGGAACACATACATTACTACTAGATATACACAAAATATAATTAAATAGTATACACACGATCACTGAAACGCTCGCAATCCTCACTACACAATAACACAAATGGACAAATACGATACACACACTAAACAATGTCACAAACGAAACCCATTCCCCATTGATGCCTGGTCCCCGCCATGTGAATGTGGTGTTTACATCTCAGGGCTGACAAGAGTTGAACAAGTTACCAGTGTCATCGTCACAACGCAGTACAGACGACCCGAAGTGAACTCCACTAACTCTTCCTCGCTCTTTTAGGCCGAGTCCACCTAGCGGGGCCTTCACGGTTTAGCAAGGAATCAGATCCGACACTCGTTTGTATGTATTGTGTATGGTGAGCTTCTTTCGCACCTCCGATCAGCACGTAGCCAACCGTACTCATCGGAGGTGCGATCCTTTATGCACACACTCACTCACACATACAACAGCACAAGATCCATCGTGTAGCCTTTAAACTGGGGTGGGAAAAGTGGTGCTAGAGAGCAAATATTAAGGGGCCGGAATGCTGCACCAGGGGGTGGTGTGGCCAGGACCACGCCAGGCAGCCTTTGTATCCCCAGTGGCGATGCTTACACGACAGTGGCTTTGTCGACCTCGGGGAACAGTAGAATAGGTTCGATCAGGCCACATACCGCCACCACACGCCACTGATAAAACCATTGGCCTGGAGTCGAACTCGGATGGCCGAGTTCGTCGTGCGGTGCCCGAACCACTCCACCACCACACCACCACCACCACACACGAACACACGGCAGAGCAGCCTGGGCCCGCACCTCTGAAGTTCTTGATGACGAGCTTCTTGGCCGAGCCGGGTTTGTTGTTGCCGCTGCTGCCGCCCGCGGCCGCCTTGGTGAGGCCATTCGTGTGGCCGAGCGCCGAGATGGTCGCCCTGCGCTGGTTCTGCTGCCCCTCGTCCATGTCCAGATCGCACTGCTGCCCCTTGAACCTCTTGGCGGCGTGGTGCGCGGTGCCGTGGGGCGACTGCAGAGCCGAGTGGAGTTGGGCCTGTCCCGGACTCGGCTCCAGCCCCTGCCCAGAGTCCTTCCCCGAGCCAGACACCTGCGCGGAACCCTGCTGCTGCTGCTGCGCTTGCCCCGACTCTTTCCCCGAGCCCTGGCCTGAGACCTGTCCTAGAGGACTGTGGCTAAACCCTGCCACCTCCTGCCCTCTCCCCGCTGCTGCTGCCGCTGCCGCCCTCTCTCCCTGCTGCTCCGTGGCCCCCGCGCTCCCCTCGGCGCGCAGCATCAACATGAACCGCGGCCCGGAGGGGGCTGCGCGCCGCGTGGCCGTGCGCGCCGCGCGTGGCTGCGTCTAGAGTCGCGGCGCGAGTGGCTGTTGTGAGTGGCTGCTGCTGCTGCTGATGCCTGTGCTGTTGTGTATCGTGGCCGTGGTTATCGTTGTTGTTGTTTCTGGGTGTTTGTTGTTATTGTTGCCGCTTCTTGACGTTGCCGCTCGCGCTCCTTTGTAGGCGACTCTAAGATGGCCACCACTGCGGCACAAAGCATGACGGGAAGCGCGAAATAAATAAATAATCCGAGGAGGGGCGGGTCCAAGGGCGGGGCGCTCGCTGGTGGTGACGTCACGTCAAGGTTATTTTTAGCGCGTTGCGTCATCGCGGATTGGCGGGAAGCAGCAACTGGCGAGGAGTGCCCGGATGTAGCACTGAAAGTGCGGGGGGCTGGGAGAACTTTCCCTCACGGAGGTCCAATTTGGATCTTTAAATACTCAATATATTTTAGCGAGCCGCGCATTAGTTGACACTTTAACTTTGAGGATGCTTAGAACTGGATGATCCATTGCCTAATGCGCCGCACACCGCGTCTCGAACAGCGCCGGCATCGACTTGATGGGTGACAGCACGAAGCTGATTAAGCTGGCGACTTGCCCGGTGTGTGAGCGGGTCTTGGCGACGCGTGGAACGATGAACGATGATGACTCTGCAACGTCCCACGAAGGGACCCGTGATGACTATTAACTTGTCGCTTTACGGTCAACTTTGTCAGATCGCTTCATCATCATCGTGGTGGTGCCCGGGCACCGTGAGGGGCAATGCTCACCACGTCTCTCCCTCGCACCAGTAAAAACTCCTCCTCCAGTCGCCACATCCCTCCTCTCGTGTCCTACAGCTCTCACCGCGAGTCTCTTAGATATCGGCAGATGTTTGTGTGTTCGCCTCTCCACTGCTGCACCACTCGCCTCGTCATGGTCACTCGGCGCTTCAGCCGCTCTCCTGCAACCACGGGGGGGAGCTCCACCACAACCACCACGGGGGGAGCTCCACCACAACCACGGGGGAGCTCCACCACAACCACCACGGGGGGGAGCTCCACCACAACCACGGGGGAGCTCCACCACAACCACGGGGGGGGAGCTCCACCACAACCACCACGGGGGAGCTCCACCACAACCACGGGGGAGCTCCACCACAACCACGGGGGGAGCTCCATCACAACCACCACGGGGGGAGCTCCATCACAACCACGGGGGGGGAGCTCCACCACAATCACCACGGGGGGAGCTCCACCACAACCACGGGGGGAGCTCCACCACAACTACGGGGGGGGAGCTCCACCACAACCACCACGGGGGGAGCTCCACAACCACGGGAGAGCCGGACAACGTGGCCGTCGTGGTTGCCCTTTGCTCTCAGAGCCCCGCTGGGCTCCAGCCCTCTCGACTCACGATCTCACCATGCGTCAGTGTGTAGTGTGTCAGTGTGTAGTGTGTCAATGTGTAGTGTGTCAGTGTGTAGTGTGTCAGTGTGTAGTGTGTCAGTGTGTCAGTGTGTCAATGTGTAGTGTGTCAGTGGTTCGGAGACGAGGGTTCTAGGAGGCACCTTTATTCAACGCCTTCATAACTGAGCAGGTTCGTCCCACGCACTCTCCGTGGTCGCCCAGCCTCAACACAACCCCGAGACAGCCAACAACTCTCCGGCCGTGCGACATCGAGCAGCCAAGACGACGACGACAGCGACGACGAGACGAGTCCACTCCCCACACCGGCACCCTGCCGAGCTCCCAGCAGCGCCTTCTATGCCTCCCAGCGCGGCCTGGCTCCGTCCTCCCTCCCTCCCTTCTGTAACCCACGAGCCGCCCCAGGGCCTTCCGGACGGCGTCTGCCGTGGCCCTCGCCCCAGTTCCTCCGCCCCGCCGACACGGAGCCGTGTCCACCGCAGTCGCCGCTGCTGGGCACCAGCTGGCGCTATTACACTACAGGTGTATTATACTTCATTCTCTTATCTGATAAATGTCCCCTCTCTTGAGGCAAGGGGCCATCCATTTAGTAGGTACGCAAAAATCTGTAAAAACTTGACCCTTGCCCTGTACGCACGTGGACTTTTTACACCCCCCCCCGAATCCTATAGAACGGCCGATATTTAATCCACGCAGAAACGATCAATGATTAATAATATGAACGTGTTAAAGCAAACAGTCCACCGCAGGGACTAACTCATTTGAATGGCAATGTAGACAAATTATCGAGGCTTCACCCCCCCCCCCCGTTTCCTATGCGTACATTGTCAGTAGACCCCCCACCCCATACGCAAGCGAACGCATTTGGGTTACCCCCCCCGCCATGCTTACGTACTAAATGGATGGCCCCCAATTGACAAATTTCCAATTTCATCGCCACAGCCTGACCGTCAACATCTGCACGATTCTGTCTCAGTCGTGAAGGTAATTCTCCGAGTCCACGAGCTCCGTGTCCCTGGAGTCCACGAGCTGCCCTCGAGTCTTTGCTACAGACCCGCCACTGTTACTTGCTCTCAAGTTAAATCTGTGAGTTTCCTCAACAAAATCATATACAGGATAATCAATAATGAACTCATTCATAATTTTCCTCAGCGAGGTGTAAATGAGGATATAATTCAGCGGGAAACAACCTCACGCCATAATTACACTGCGAGATACATTTGCGCATTCACCAGTAAAACTTTATTAAAGACACCGTAATAGAAAAAATAACTCTGAAGAACTCCAAGTATACATTTATAAGCAGAGTTTATATAACAGTATGATATTACACGAGCCTTTGAGGCAATTATCCACAGCTAAAATTAAATCATTCATAATACTTAAGCGATACACCACCGCTCACAGTAGCACGGCCAATAGAGCAGAGTTCCTGACCTCCAGACCGTAAGTTCACACCCTGGTCAGGGTCGACTGCCCCCCCCCCCCCCTTCATCACATCACCACTGTCGTCTCTTCAAGGTTGGTAAAATAAGTACCGCCTGCTGCAGCTGTACTTATTACAGGGAAGTCAACGGTCTCCTTGTGTTCACTTAAGGATACACTGGTCCCTCTCATAGGAACGTGGATTTTCGCAGGTAAGGGGATGATGGAGGTGTGCACCACCAGCATTCACTCAAGATCATTGCCAAGTGCTTATTCCAGGCTGAGTCAACCTAGGCGACCACCTGATAAGACATACCAATCTGACTACAGTGTTAAACTTGCACATTTGCAAAGGAACTGGAACACCAGGGAGCATTGTCTGGACTTGCAGTCGGAAGAATGCTCCCTGTTCTATGCAGGTATCATCTGTTCTACTCGTGGTTACGTGACAAAGTCCTCACATCGCTAAACAAGTATAATTGGATTCATGTGGTGTTGACATCGCCACTTCAATTGGCTGCTGCTAGTTTTTTACAGTTACTTTTGTTCATCCTGTGACATTTTCAGGATGGCCGTGCCAAGCAGTGGGCGAAAAGTGTTGTTTCCTAATTAAGTGATTTCAGAGTAATTTATCTAATTTGGCACACAATGGCCTACTCTGCTCCAAATGACATCACGGAATTTTCAAAGTTCACTGTGAAGCAGATGGCGCATATTTTATGGTTAATACACCCATCGTGTTAACCATGACACCTTGCTGATTCAAACCGCGAAGCTCTGCAAAAAGCAAATGCGATACTGCTCAGCAATGTCACCGCTAAAGTTCATTTGCAGACCAAGTCTGTAGTCCAGGGTGGCTCCATTACCTACCATTAATGATGCGCATAACATAAACGCAATTCAAGCTGAAAATTCACCCTGACGTTGAGAGGTGTTGAGACTGAGAGGTTACGGAACCACTCTGTGACATCTCAACTTTAGTTCCCAGAGAAGGGCTTTCAGGTCACAGCGAGGCCAGTGAATGAGTTTGTGGCTCCACAAAATTAGGCTTTTCCCATTTAAACTTAATTTGGAGCTTTCGTGACAGCAGGAATTACTTTTTGGTTCTTTCGGCAAAGTCACGTATAAAAAGAAAATAATAAATTACATACTAGCATACGACGTTTCGATTGCAACACAAGCAATCAGGTATAAATGAAATAGAAACACAAATCTAGTATACAATGAGTGCCACTCACCGTGCCACTCATTGACGTGCTAATTTCTCTAACCCCTCCCTCTCTCTCCGCCCCCGCCCCCTCTATTTAAGGCCTCAACACAGAGGCGTGGTTTCTCTGTGTGCCTGTTTGTCTCTCTCTATGTATCTCTGTGATATCTGTCTGCTTATATGTCTGTCTATATGTCTCTGGTTCTGTTTTATCTCACTCTCAAATTTAGCATTCTCAGGAAGAACGTAATCAACCAGGTAGGGTGTTGACTGTTATGTTATCCGACTCTCTGTTGTATTACATTATATTTCTAAGTATACTAGATTTGTGTTTCTAGTTCATTTATACCTGATGATTGCTTGTGTTGCAATCGAAACGTCGTATGCTAGTATTTTATTTATTATTTTCTTTTTATACGTGACTTTACCGAAAGAACCAAAGAGTTTTCCCATTTAAGCAGTCTCCTCACAATCATAACAAACCAGATGAGATCAGCGCTAAGAGTGGATGAAAGGTGTTGGAATCCAACAATGCGGGTTAAACAGAGCAACAAAAGTGCAATTTTCCAAGATTGAATCTTTGTTACACAACCCGTGTGAGGCTGCATTGTTCACGTTCGTGTCACCTTGAGGGTAACCGAGGAAAGCTCCAAACCTGCTTTGATTGACAAAGGCAACCTGGGATTTGTGGATAGTTACACAAAGCAACTTGAACTAGGTTTCTCATAACCTGAATGACTTTCAGTTGCAGACGAAGCAGAAAATTACACTTTAGTTGCTCGAGACAACTGTTTTTGTCTTCTGTAACACAAGTAAAAGCCACATACTGGACCAGTTCATTCGCAACCTCAATGGCAATTCCATTCACAATGTGGATGTATACAGTGTCTGAATGTGACTGCATGTTAAACCATTGTACACGAGGCCGGGGGGGGGGGGGCATCAAGAAAATGTTAAGAGGATTTCAAGTCTTTTTCATTTGAAATGGACGCGACGGGTGAAACAAGCCGCAGGGAGAATAAAGCAACGTGAAACCTTCATGCAGGTATCAGCTGTTCTTCTCATGGTTACGTGGTAAAGTCTCAACGCGAAACCCTTGAGACCAACTCGCAGGAGCTTCCATGACGCATCCAGAGTCCCGTCCACAGCTGCAGGACGCCACGAGCTCAGCAG